ACCCTCATCAGGCAGAGGATGGGAGTGAGTTCAAGCCCCAGACATCTCAGCCCTGAGGCAGGGCTCAGAGCTCAGGGCTCTCTGTAAATCCACTGTGTCTGTAGCACAGAGCCCATCGCCTCATCACCCCCGAGAAGGAGAGCTCCTCCCCGAGGCCCAGTGGGCAGTGCAAGAGGCTTGGCAGATGGTGCTGGGCAGGGCCCTCTGCACTCGCCCCGCCCAGGGCGGCAAGGTAGAGCCTGGCCTCACTGAGCCCATGCTGGCTCCACGCTCCCATCCAATACACCCAAACAGCAAGGCAGGACCCCACACTGGGCAGGCCTGGGTGAGCACTGACCCACAGAGGGGTAGACGCAGATCCTCTCCCGTGTAACCCGCGATAACAGGCAGAGGCGCCTTGGGGAGGCTCTTAGACCAAGGGGCCCAGGGGAAATCTGGGCAGACTGCCTGGAGAAGGGGGCATGTGCCAAGGGATGAAGTCGTGGGGTTGGGGGGGGCAAAGGCCTGGCTGGAACGAGGAGAGCCCTTGGGGGCTGAGACGGGGGTCTGGGAAGGAGGCCCAGCTCCTGAAATCCGAGAGGGGGGCCCTGCTTAGCCCTCAGGGGCCAACCTCAAACGGGGTACACCCCCCTGAAGACAAGAGGGAAAGACCTAGGATTGTAAGGACCCCCTCCCCAGGCTGGAGGGGCCTCTATTCACTAAGAAGACCAAGCGCAGAGTGGACCCCCCCCAGCCGGGCCAGGCCAACCGCCCCCACCCGCGGCCCCTTCCACCCACCCAGGCCTTCCCAGCCCAGAACCAGGTCTGCCCAGCTGTCCCCCTGTACGGGGGCATCCCCAAGGAGACCCTGTATCTCTCCTCACTCCCTGCCTGGGCTCCCTCCCACCACGGCCCGCTGGGCAATCATCACCTCCATTCTCTGTCCCCTGGGGGACAGGCTTTCTCTTAAAGGCTTGGGCTCCAGGCCGGCCCTGGACCCGCCTGCCCTGTCCACCCAGCCTCCACGGCAGGCTGGACACACTCGACCACCTTGTCCCCAACCCGCTGCCTGGCCTCCCCAACTCCAGCCAGGGCCCACCCAGCCACCGTCCCCCTCTCCCACCGTCCCCCTCCTCCCGCTGTCCCCCCAGCGTCTCATCTGGCAGACACTCTGGCTGGGCCGTGACCACAGCCACCATGACCCCACGTCCCTGCCCCGGGTTGGTGGGCGCTGGTGCCCAGGAGAGGCCTACCTGCATGCGTCACCAGGAGCCCGGGGGGCGCGGCAGCAGCTGCCTAGACCAAGGAGAACACACGTCAGTCGTCCACCCAGCTCCACCCTGGGCAGGGCTCATTGGGTTTGCCCCCTCTCAGGGCCCTGCCCACCCCGACACCCACACAGCCCACATGGGGCGAGGTGGTGGCACCTCGGGGCCCCAGACGCGGCCCGCAGCCACGCCACGTGTCACACGTTCACAGCGGGCTCGTTGTGAAGTGCTCAAGGGCACTGTCCGCTTGCTCTGCGCAGGGCACCCCGGGTGAGCCACTCCTGGGGGCCGCGTGAGATGAGTCAAGGCCCTCAGACTGCAGGGCAGCCACTCTGGGGCGTCTGATTGGAGGTGCATATGGGCCCGGAGGAGCAAGACGGTTTGGAGACCTCAGAGCTGGGGCGGAGCGGGCGGGAGTGGGGGGGGGCACCCCACCACGGGCACGGTCATCACTGCCTGGGCCTCTGCTTCACACACCCAGGAGGAGATGGGCCCCCCAGGGCTGGACCCAGCGTGGCTGAGGGGGCAGCCTGGCAGTGGGGCCTCCCGGGGGGCCATGGGCTGGAACAGGGGGTTCAGAAGCCGACCTACTCTTCAGGGGGGCAAAAGTGCTGCCCACACTCAGGAAACAGCACCCCAGCCCCGGCCCCAGGCCGGCTCCTTTTGGGAGCCCCGACCCATCACCTGTGAAGAGGCCACCGGGCAGGCTCCAGGACTTGGGGAGGGTATGTGTGACCCCTGAGACCTGGGATGAGAGCTGGCTGCCCTCGGGGGCCCCCCGTCACTGGGAGCCCCACCCACAGCGGCACCCGCTTCCAGGGCCAGTCCTGCAGGCAGGGCCTGCAGCCCCAACGATGCAGTCAGTGGCTGGGGGGGAAGCGAACGCAGTCCCTCCCATCCGCCCTCACTGGGGGCCAGGACCAGGTGGGGGCAGGCAGGCACACATGGCCCGTGGGGTGAGGGGGGCTCTCCAGTGGCCCCAGGGGCGGGGGTGGGGAGCAGGTGTTCCCAGCCAGGAGCACACATGAGGCCCAGGGACCCAGGCCCATCCTACGGCCTCACGCTTCCCTCTGGGAAGGGGGAGAGCTGTCTTTGTCGCCCGCCCCGTCAGCTCAGAGATGAGAGTAAGTGAATTGGAAGCCTCGTGGGGGCAGGTGGGCGCTGTCCTGGGGCCCACCCAGCCCCACCAGGCGAGACGCTCCCCACCCCCGCCGGTCCCCTGGGCCACGCTGGGCTCAGGGGTGGCCTGCAGCCCCAACGATGCAGTCAGTGGCTGGGGGGGAAGCGAACGCAGTCCCTCCCATCCGCCCTCACTGGGGGCCAGGACCAGGTGGGGGCAGGCAGGCACACATGGCCCGTGGGGTGAGGGGGGCTCTCCAGTGGCCCCAGGGGCGGGGGTGGGGAGCAGGTGTTCCCAGCCAGGAGCACACATGAGGCCCAGGGACCCAGGCCCATCCTACGGCCTCACGCTTCCCTCTGGGAAGGGGGAGAGCTGTCTTTGTCGCCCGCCCCGTCAGCTCAGAGATGAGAGTAAGTGAATTGGAAGCCTCGTGGGGGCAGGTGGGCGCTGTCCTGGGGCCCACCCAGCCCCACCAGGCGAGACGCCCCCCACCCCCGCCGGTCCCCTGGGCCACGCTGGGCTCAGGGGAACCTGAGACGCAGCCGCCGTGGGGGCCGGGCCTCCTCCAGAGCCTCCCCAAAGGGCCTCGTGGTCAGGGGCCACCACCACGAAGGGCCCTGCCTCCCCCGGCCCAGGGCCCCCACTGGAAGGCCTGGGCCGCCCACTCCACCTGGGCCCGGGTCCCCCCCACCGATCGTTGCCCACAGTCCACCCTGCCCGCCTCAGCCCCCAGACGGCCCTTCCCTGGAGTCCCAGCCATCAGCCTCCCACAAGGAGCCGGCGCTCACAGCCAGGACGGCCTTGTGGGGCAGGGGCCGGCAGAAGGGGGCCCGGCTCCCAGCCCGCCCGGCTTCACGTGGGGGCAGCTCCCTGGGCCGCCAGGGCCTCCCCCAGCTCTGCTGGAGGGGCGGCCCCGCGGGACGGAGCCTGGAAGCCCCCCGCCCGCAGCTCCAGCCGCTCCCAGCCCCTCGCTCTTTGGCAGCAAGGCCGGCGGGCCCTCTGCGGGGAGACGACTCCCGCGGACAAGCTTCCACTAGATGCGGTGTCTCGCTAGTGCCCAGCTCCCAGGCCGGCAGCACTGCCGTCCCATGTACGGGGCAGGGGACTCCCGACGGGAGAGACCCCCAGCCTGCCTTTCCCACTCAGCCCTGCAGGGGCCAAGTCAGAGCTTGCTGTCAGCACCCTGGGGGACCTGGGGCCCGGTCCCCACCAGGCAGTGAACAAGGGCGAGACGTGGCCCCCCGGGACGTGCAGGGAGCCCGTGACGGGGGTCCCGGCAGCTCTGCCACCCACACGGGAGAGACTGGGGACGGGGGCGCTTCAGGCTCAGAGCCAGCACCCTCGCTGACCCAGAGGACGGCGGGGGGTCCACCCTCCCTGGATACAGGGAGCCACCTGCCTGAGCCCAAGCGGACCACTGAAGACTGCGCTGTGGTCTCCAGTGAACGTGTGCAGACACGCGTGTCACACACACGGGCGCACACGCACACCCCTGGCACACAAGACAGGCAACACGCACACGGCACATGCAAGTGCATGCACATGTGTACACACGCATGCACGCCGCATGCCACACTCGCGTACACACCTCATAGACAATGCACACGCATGCAGACGCACGCTCTCACATGCACACATCACACGCAGACACACGCCACACATGCATGCACGGGCCCCGGGGGCTGTCCGAGGCCTCTCTCCTGGTTCATGCTTCCGGCGTGTTCAGGCTTAAGGCCGACCAGACAGGCAAGGCCTTGTCAGCTGCAACCCGCGGGCCAAAGGAGGCCGGGCCCCCGGATTTCAGAGACCGCGAAAGGCCCCGAGCCACAGGGCCGGGGCAGGAGGCGGAGAGAGCCAGCCACACGGAATAGGACAAGACAGTAAGAAAAAACAGTTTTATTTCCAGTCTAAGAAGGTCTTACAAACAGTGTCAGGTTTTAAAAATGTGAACAGAGCGACAAACGGTCTTCAGCTGACAGTGAAGGTACAAAGCGGAACATTCACAGGTGAGCTGAGCGCAGGATGCCCGCCAGCCGGAGCCCAGGCGGGCAGCCACAGGCATCGCCTTCCACGGGGCGTCTGGAACCAGCTGCGGCGCCAAGGGACACAGCAGGCCACGCAGCCAAAGTCCATGCAGGTGAGCAGGCTGCCCCCGAGGGCGCACGCGGTGCCTGGGGCCCCGGAAGGGGAACGGAAGTCCCCACCCTGCGCCTTCTGGTCCTGACTGCAGGCCCTGGGCTCAGCCAGGAGTGGAGGAGGGATGGTCCTGGGGCTCCCGACGCGTGACCCCAAACCCTGCCTTTCCCTGCCCACAGGAGGCCACTGTGAGTGAGCCACAGAGGTGCCAGGGTCCCAAGAGCAGACCCCTGCCAGCCAGCAGGCCCCCTGAGCCTCGGGGTCCTGTTCAAAGGACGGGCCACCTGTGGGTGCAACTTTGGCAAGGAGATGCGGGGGGCCAGGTAGGTGGAGGCCCCTGGGACGCACGTCAAGGAGTGCTGGGAGGTCCTCGGGTTCTGCCGCCCCGAAGCTGCCCAGGACGCAGCCCTCCCTGCAGGCTGGGCCCCACTCTGACCCCGGGCCCTCCCCATCAAGCTCAGCACCGCCCTCCCCCCACCCCCAGGCCACTGCCACCCTCAGGGAGGGGGCTTTACCTTCAGTCCTCCGCAGACGGGACACGTGGAAAAGAGCGCGGGAGGGGGCCCAGCGTGGGGGACGCCAGCTTCCCAGGGCTCGCCGGCCCCCGCTGCTGCCGCCTCTGGCGCCGGTCCCCGCCGTCTCTCGCCAGGCCAGCCAGGGGGACACCCTGAGTCCCGGGCGGCGCCCCTGTCTGGGCTGCCCGGCGCGGCGGGGGGCTGGTCCCGGGGCGCCTGGCGCAGGCTGCGGGGCGTGTCGTAGTGCGGCCGCGGGGCGGCGGGCACCTGGTACTCGGCCGCCCCGGGTGGGCAGGCGCACAGGCCGGGCTCTGGGGCCCCGGCCGCCGGCAGGCTGAGCAGGGAGCCGAGCTCGTCGCCGGCCCGCCACACGTCCAGGCTGCTGCCCGCACACGACGAGAAGCTGCCCGAGCAGGAGGAGTGGCTGCCAGTGGCGATGCCGCTGTCCGAGGAGCTCTGGCGGCCGACCTCCCGCAGCTGCCGCGGCCGCAGCGGCTTCGGGGCGGGCCTGGCAGCGCCCGGCGCGGC